TTTTTTTTTTTTTTTTTTCCTATCCCTGTCTTGAGATTTTTCTGGCATGTTTCTGGAGGTTTCAAAGGAAATAAATGTTTCATAGAAATGGCTTGTGTGTTCACTAGCTGGGCAGCTGCCTGGAGTCACTGATGGGAGGGTGTGGTCCAGCCTCCTCCCCCATCCCCCTGGTCCCAAACGCCATCTCTCTCCCTCTCTCTCTCTCTGTCTCTCTCTCCCTCTGTCTCTCCCTTTGTCTCTCTGTCTCTGTCTCTCTCACACAAACACACAGGCGTGCGCGTGCACACACACACACACTTTCCTAAGAACCAGCCTTGAAACCCAAATGACAGGAATCCAACACTGAGAATGTAAAAAGTCCTTAAGTTAAAAAGGGAGCTTCTTACTGAAGAAGTCATATACTGGAGGCCAGAAAGCCAGACCTAGCCCACGGAGTTGCGCTGGTTTTAGATTTAGTGGTCAAACTTTTAAAAATCTGGAGGTCGGCCATAAAGCCGGATTTCCAGCTTGGTAAATCTGCCCTTTGAAAGCGAACTCAGAAAGAACCAAGGGGCCCCTGTCTCCTTTGGCTGCGGTCTCCCCAGGCCACACCCTCCTGGTGCTGGCTTATTTGCATGTCCCCGCCCCCATCGGTGGGAGTAGGCCTCCTGCCAGTCAACTGGTTGGTGGTTTCCGGTGCAAATCAGCCCCTGCTTCCAGGCCAAGGGGAGCACAGTGAGGTGGGGGTGTCCCATGACCTCACCCCTGGGTCAGGCCTCCCTCTAGGGGCTCTCCTAGCTGGGGAGAGGCCTTAAACTTCTGGTCTGGATCTGCATCTGCCCTGGTGAACTTGCGGTTTGACCTGGGGATCAGGGTCCAACCTGATTCTCAGAATTTTCTGAATCTCAGAATTCCACGTGAAAATCCAAGGTCTGGACTCTTGTGGGAAGTCCGGATCTGAGAAGCGGCCCAGCCTCTCGACAGGGCTGGCCAGGTGGCTAGATCTTCCTGACCCACCCCACCTACTTACCTGTCATGGAGTGTTCCATCTCTGAGCTAAAACCTGATGCTCCTCTGACTCAGCCTCTCCCCTCCCCCCCCCAAAAAAATATCTTTTTCCAAAACGGGTGTATATCCTTTTTCCAGAGGAGGTGGACCAGCTATTTCCACATCTAAAAATTCTAGAGTGTTCCAGACACTCTCCCAGTCTCCGCCCTTCTTGAGGCCCCATCGCCTCCCCATTCGGCCCTCCCCCAACCGGCATGGGAACCATGGAACAAGCTGTTCTCACATTCTCTCCTGGAGCCTGTGACACACACCAACGTCCAACGCCCCGCAACTCGCACCCACACTGTGCCCTGCTGGTCCCTTCCCCATCTTGATCTTGCCCCAGTTTCCAACTTCCTCGGCCATCCCACGAGTGCTTTGCCTTCTCTCTCCTTCTCCTCACCTTGTTTTCTTTTTCTCAATTCAATTTTTTTTTAATTTAGGTTTCATTTTTCTTATCAAGCGATATCTCTACTTATGCCCTTCTTCTTTTCTATGAAGTTCTTATCTTTCAGGTGTTTGAGATTTGTTTGTCCTTTGATTCTTGATCATTTTAACTTTAAATGTGTTTCTCTTTTCTTTATTTTTTATTTTCTCTTGATGGAAATTTCTTTGAGCGCGCATTTCATTTACCTTCAGGTTTTAAATTACTGGTTTTTCTTTCTTTTGTTTTGATGTTTCTTTCTTTCCATTGAATTTTCTATTTATTTTTTCTGTTTTTCCGACACGCCGGAGCTTTTTCATTTATTTCATTTTCATCGACGATGCTTTTTTTTCTTTTCTAAAGTTTTAATTTTTGAGCTGATCTTCTTATAAATGTGGCTCTTGTGTCTTCTCCAGGGCAGTTCTGGTCTCTTCCCCTCATCCCACTGCCTCAAATCTGCCTCTCCCAGCCTAACCTTGTGTGGCTGGTTTCCCTTTTCCTGGTCTTTTTTTCCCTTCAGCTTGCTCCACATCCAAGATGGGACCTGTGAGGTTGGGGAGTTTGGGCACCCCCCACCTCACCATAGTTCGGGAGTAAGGTTTCATCTTTCCATCCCTTTTCCCCTCCTAGGCTCCCAGAAGCTCTCCCCGCTTCTCTTCCCCCCCCTCATTGCATGTTTTACATCATGGCAGTGCAGTCCGTTGCTGGTGCTAGGCAACCAACTAGCTGGAGGACATTCTCTTTCTCCACTGACATCACATCATCCTCTTTCCCAAGTGAGGTTGGGAGGAGTTGACAAAGCCAGAGAAAGGCAAAGTAGGGAGGGAGATGGAGTGGGGCTCTGGGCCGGGCTCCAGCTGCAGCACAGGCACCACTGCATCAAGTCTCCCCTAGGGGAGGTGCTCCCCCATCTCCCCTTCTGGTGGTGCCCTGTCCAGCGTGGGAGAACCAGGCAATGGGCAGAGGTGTGGTCAGGCCTGGGGCTTATCACACAGAACAAGTTACAGACCACAGAGGCAGGCTGGCAGAGACTGCTTGGCCACACAAGGGGGGGGGCATGTTACTGGGGGAGCACCCCCAAACCCACCACTCAGCTTGCAACTCACTTCCTCCTTTTTTTTTAACCCGAACAACAAACACACACAACTATTAAGAAATGGAATTATACCCCCTCAATTTCAAAATGGCCACACAGTTTAGGTGGTAGGCATACCGCCTCAATGGGTGGGGAACTGGAGCAGGGGGAAGGGGAAAATCCTAGTCTCGTTGTAGATTCTGTGTGTGCTTTATTCCAGCAGGCGCTGGCAGGGGTCTGCCAGCCCGCCTTTTGCCCCTCACAGCCGACGCTGCCCACCAGCTTATGTAGGGGCAGGCAGCAGGCACAGGTAGGGTAGAAGCTCAGGGAGGGAGCAGGAACGGAGTTCAAAACCATGGTTCACGTCATGCAGTATCCACGGTGGGCACCAAGAGGGGGCGAGGGTGGACACCACACCCACCTGCCCTGGGCACGAAGGGGGGATGGTGCCCACACTGGGTGAGGAAGTGGGACAGCTGCAACTCCAGAAACTGGGGGGTGGGGCTGGTAGGCAGTGTGAGGCTGGCATTAGGTGCCCAGTGGATTGGGCGGCACCTCTCCACCAGCCAGGCCTTATGAGAGTAGGGACTTTTGTGTGTGCTATTAATTTTTTTTTTTTTTAACTTTTTGACTTTTTCTTTAGAAAAACGCTGTGTCCGTGCCCCGGGCTGGCATCTACCACCCCTCATGCCCGCCCAGAGGCGGGGTATGGCTTTGAGGGGAGCAGAAGCCCCCGGTGCCCATTCGCCAAGGGATGGGGAAGGAGGGAGGAAGGGAGAGGGGCCCTGCTGGGCCCACCAACCCACAGGGCAAACATTCCACCTGCACAGAGGGAAGGGGGTGGCCCCGCCCCCTCTCGGGCTTCCCCTGTCCCCCTCCACTGTGGGGCACTGAGGGTGGAGAGAGCGTGGAGGAGCTCCGAGAGGCAGATAGGTAAGCACCACCCCAGAGGTCCGGGTGAGCCAGAGCCAGGCCTAGGTGAGGGTGATGTAGGCAGAGGCCTTCTCTTTCAGGTGCCGAAGACAGAGGTGACAACTCCAGCTCCCTGTGGGGGTGGCCAGAGGACAGGGATTTAGGCCCGGGTCCCCCAGAGGCTGACCCAACCTCCCAGCCAGCAGACACGGTCTTTGGTCTTCACCAGCCGGAAGACAGCTTTCCGACCCACCCGCCCCCGGGGTCATGCCCACCTCTTCTCTCACCTTCCGGGGGCTCCGCCATGGGGGGGCTCAGGCAGTACATGTGGTAACCCCGATCGCAGTCGTCACAAAACAGCAGCTGGTCCTGGGGGGTGAGACCCGCCCAGCTGGCACCCTGGGGGCACGGGCACCAGAAACCGGGGTGGGGGGCTGGGGCAGGGGTAGGTCAAAGGGGCCGGGGAAGGCGGTCCCTCCCACGAGAAAGGGCTCCGAGACGGGGCTTCGCATCATGGAATCTTTGCGAAACCCTGCTTGGCCAAGCAAAACACCCCTGTGGTCGGCCGGTTTGCAACTCGCAGTCTGGGTTTTATAGATTCTGTGGAACACTTCAAACGCCACCGAGATGGTCTGACACCAGCTCTGGAAGCAATGGACGTTGGGTTCGGTTCCCAGCTCTACTAATTTCCTAGACGTGACCTCGGGCACGTCATGTCCCCTCTCTGAGCTCAGTGTCTTCTCTGCGGAGTGGGAACGAGAGCACCTACCTCGGAGGGTGGTTGGGAGGAGTCAGAGAGATGAGGAGCACTAAGTGCCGGGCTCAGTTAATGGACACTAAGCAATAATAATAATACAGGTTACTAGTGTTCACCAGGGAGGGGCTCCAGGGAAAGGCTTTAGGCCCGACTGGCAGAGGCGGAGGTGCCGGACGGGAGGCCACCTGGGGGCATGTCCCAGGGGAGGCGGGCGGGCACTCACGTCGTTCTCCGAGGTGCCGCACAGGCTGCAGGACTTGCACTCGATGCACTGCCAGCGGTAGGTCCGCACGGCCGCCGTCATGTTCACCGTAAACTGTAAACATGAGGGGTGTCCTGGGGGCCAAGGGGCAGGGATGCAGTTAGGGCTCATCACGCCCCCGGTGGTGACTGACCCCCCCCCGGGGGAGGAGACGGCTCGGCCCCCACCCCTGGGTCCTAGGGCCGGAGGAGCTCCCGTGGCCCACAGCCCGACCCCACCCCGCGCACGGTGCCCAGCGACCGTACCGCAAGCAGCGCTGCCACGACCGTGGCCACCAGTCTCCTACCAGCCACCATGGTAACCACATTCTGCTCCCCAGAATACCATGGCAACCGCATTCCATTACCCGCAGTGCTGTGGCAACCACTTTCTACCACCCACAACACCCGGGCCGCCACATTCTGTTAGCCGCTGTGCTGAGGCAGCCACATTCCATTACCCACAGCAGAGTGGCCGACAGGTTCTGTTAACCACAGTAACGCGGCAGCCACGTCCTCCCAGCCACGGCGCCATGGCAACCGCCTTCCGCAGTGGGGTCCCCACGCTCTGGGTTCCCTGTGACCCAACGCCTGTCCCCCAGGACGGGCGAGCGACCGAAGTGTTCCCGGCGGTACCGCGCGACGCCGATCCCACAGCCGTCGCACTACCCCAGTGCGGAGACCCCCTCAGCCGCCACCCGGTGCCACAAGTTACGTTCCACGCTACCCCGTTGCCGTGACAACCCTATCGCACTCCCCGTGATACCATGACAACCACAATTCATTACCCACCGTGCTGAGGCAACCACAGTCTATTACCTACAAGCCCACCCTGGGAAACCACATCCCACTAACCGCAACTCCGTGGCAAGCGCCCTCGGTTATCCACAGTGCCCAGGCAACGGCCATCCATTACTCACTATCACGGTTCCCTACCCACAATGCCTTGGCAACCACCTTTCACTGCCCCTCGTGCCATGCTAAGCACGTGCTACGACCGGCAACGCCGTGACGACCGCCTCCCATTATTCCCAGAGCCTCTCTGGCCACCCCTCCCCCTCCCAGTTTCCCGAGGTCCTCAGCAGTCGAGTCCACTCCACCAGCTCTGGATCCCCCCAGCCCCAGGCTGCACTTCTCCGCCTCCCAGCCTCCAGATCGGGACTCCTGGCGTCCCCTCCACCCGGGCCCCCAGCAACCTCAGGTGAGGGTATCACCTGATCGCCCACAGTCAGCACAGGAGATGAGGTCCTCGGGACACCCCGTCTTCTTGGAGCCACCCAGGCAGAAGTCACAGTAGCCGTTGGGGATGACGGTGCCATCGGGCGCCTTCTTGGCTGAAAGACAGCAGGCGGTGGGGGGGTTGACGTAGGCGGGCGGGGGCACCTAGTCAAAGGCTGCTGCACGAGTAGGGGCAGAGGGAGGCGTCCCTACCTGTGTGTTTCCTCTGTGCCTCAGGGACCCAGGCCAATTCTTTGTAAAACTCTGGGGTTGGGGGGACAGAGAGAGGGGCTCTCACCACAGGCAAGGCTCCACCCTGCCCCCCAGCCTCAGCCCCAGCCCCGGGGTGGACCCCTTTATCCAGGCATGGGGGAGGTAAGGAGAGAGTAGCTACCCCAAGTTGTGGCCGCGGCAGAACGGGGATGGGAGCCCAAATAATTCTCATCAGGAGCCCCGAACTCTTTGAGGACAACTCACTCTTTATTAGGCAAAACTGGCAAATAACAGCTTTAGGAAGAGCCCCCCTGCTTCCCCTTTCTATCACACAACCGGTGCCAACTAAGCCCCGGCTAGATAAAAACTGGGGTACCACTGGCCGAGACCTGATATGCAAACAGACGGATGTTCACAAGAAAAATTCTGAACACAGAGGTGCCCAGTGCGTGGTGGGGATGGGGTGAAGAGACCGCCCTCTCCCACCAAGAGGTGGGTGCGAAGACAGTTTCTCCGCTGGCGGAGCCTCTCCCGAGCCCTCTCCCATCCCTCGGCTGTCAGGGCTGCCACGAGATTGGCACGGGCAGGCGCCAAGGGCTCCCAGGCCACAGACCCTGCCCCGCAGCCAAAGCTTAGCAGAAAAGGGAGAACGGGAGGCAGAGAGGGAGGGGAGTCATCTATCACCCCCCTCCCCAAGCTCTAATTGAAACAATAAATCAGACCCAGAAATATTACGCCCGGCCGGGAGCGAGGGAGAGATGGTTGGTTGCCATGGCAACCCCAGAGCCAGCATCCCCATGGTCGGTGGGGGGAGGGGACCGCTGAGCTGGAGATTTTCCAGAAATGTCTAATGTGCCCCCTCCCTCCCAGGCTCCTCAGCCCCCACTCCCGGGGCCCCTCACTACCCCACAGCCCGCCTGCCTGCTCACGTTTATGGTTGTTTTTCCGGTGGAAGGGCAGGGCGTGGCGCTCGGCGTTCTCCTCCCCCTCCTCCTCAGCCAGGTGGGTGTGGGTGTAGTGGTAGCTGAGCCCTGGCCGGTTCTTATACCGTTTCCCACAGACTGGAGAGCGAGCAGGGAGGGCCGGTCAGCCCTCCCAGCCCATGCGGCCTCCACCCTGGCCTCGGGGATCACACCTCCCCCCTCTGCCAGAGGCCTGAGCATCCCCTCCCGCCGGGCTCTAGAACAGGAGGGAGGGGGCCAGCAGGGGAGAGGTCCCTAGGCCCCACTCTCTCTTTCCCCCTCTTCAGAAGGACTCACTATCACAGACATACGGCTTGTCTCGGTCCTCCAGGGATGCGGTGTCCTGGCGTTTCCGGAGACCCCCGATGCCATATGCCTGGGGGAAGAGGCGGGATGAGGGGCCAAGAAGGGAGGCAACTGAAAGAGTTTTCATCACTGGAGCCTGAAAGGTGAACCGCAGCTCTGCCACTTCCTGACTATGGGCCTCGAGTAACCCCCTTGACCTCTCAGAGGCTTCCTCATGGGTGTGAAGGCGGCTCTGACCCACTATACAATCTCTGTTTTGCCAATGGGTTCATGTATCTGAGCCTCAGCGTCCTCTTCTGTACGATGGGTATAAAATCCTCTACCCCTTCGGGCTGCTCTGGGAATTCAGTGAGGCCAAACTGGGTTAGGGTCTGACCACGATAAACGCTCAGTGTATGGGATCCGTCACTGAGGAGAGAGGTGAGGGAGAAAGATTTGGGGGTGATACCTTTCCTTTAGCCCTGTTCTTCCTCCTGGGAATGTCATCCTCCAAGTCTTCCACCTCGAGATCATGTGGAAACTCCAGCAGCTGCTGTTTCTGGACACCAGAAGGGAGACTGAGGTCAAGAAAATGGGGGATGCTGTCCTTCTCTGTGGGAGTTGCGGACACAGCTGGAGACTGGGGGCGCAGGGCAAGCAGGGAGGTCTTCCGAACAGAGATGAGGTGTGGAAGGATGCGACTTAGGAGGCCCAAAGGCCCTAGGGAACCAGGGGAGATCGGAGAGCGGGAACAGGGTACGCCAGGGCAGGTGGTGGGGGTGACAAGGCGGCCGGGGCTCCTGAGGGGTGGTCCCACCTGGCAGTCCATAATGGTCTCCTCCTCCTTCAACTCAATCTTCTTCTCCCCTGTCTCAGCACACAGTAGCGCCTCAAGGACAGGCCCTTCGGGGAGGCCACCCTCCTTCTTCAGGGGTGCCTCACAATCTGGGGACAAGGCCACGGTGGGGAGGTCAAGTGGGGAAGTTGTCCCTGGAGGATTTCTCAAACTGCCCAGGTTGGGGAGCCATGCCCTTTGCTTCAGGAAAGAGGTGTTCCCACACTCGACCAGCAACAGACTCAAAGATTCAATCACGCATACTGGGAAGGAGGCCGAGACCTGGGAAAGACACGGCCAGGCCCTCGGATCCGCTCAGACACACTCAGACGGAGACACGCCAGACCCTCCCTCACTTACACCTGGATGCACGTGGAGAAACACAGATTCTCAAACAGGATACACATGGGAGATACAGACGGATCATCTGGAGACAGCCAGATGCACAAAGGAGGAGATACACCCAGACACTCAGATACACCCAGTCACGTAGAGGAAACATATCCAAACCCTGGGATACACCCAGAGACAATCAGAAAGAGACACTAAATCGTCAGCTATACCTAGATCCGCATAAGGAACACCCAGCCAGACCCTACCAGACATGTGGACACACACAGGGGAGATACAGACACACACATCTGGAGAGAATTACTCAGATGGACACACACGGACGTACACAGGGGAGCCACACACGGCGCCTCTGAGGCAATCGACACACCCAAAAAGACAGCCAGATGGACACTCCATGGCGCCTTGATCAGCTTAGGTCAGCAGGCTCTGCTCTGGTGGCAGGGTACCCGCTTGGGATTCCAGCTTTCTCTCCGCCCCACCCCAGCCCGTGTGGGCACTCTCTAGATAAACAAACAGACAAACAAACTTAAAAAAAAACCCACACAGATGGACACTTCAGTATACCTGGACCCACACAGAGGACGAGGGAAGAGAAAGAGCCAGTGACTCTAATAGTACTGGTCACATTCAAGAAGCGATAAGGCCAGACGGTCTGGTTGGACCAGCACACGTGGGCAGAGATACACCTGATATACCAGATACTAGGGGAAGAGATTCTCCCGGACATTCCAAAGCATCCAGACACTCAAAAGAAGAGACACCAGACACCCCGATGCACTCAGACACACCCAGAAACGGCCGGACACTCTGGGAGACCAGACACACACGAGATGAAACGAACCCTCTAATGTCCTTGGAAACACCTAGAAAGAGACACAGATACTTACATCCACTCCACTACCGACGCAAAGGCTTACCACCAGACACTCTCACACATGCACACACACTCAGGCGCCCACAGGAAGAGAGACAGCCGCACAGCAACACATCCCAGTTCACCGGGGAGGAGCCACCTAGGCACCTAACAGAGAGCACCGGGCCCGGAATACACCTGGGCCCCAGTAGGAGAAGACACGTCCAAGTCCAAAGCAGTCACTCAGGGAAAACTGGAGAATGTCTGGACTACAGCCAGACACACACCTGCAGACACTCGCTAGAAGGGAAATAAAGGCAAATGCTCAAAACCACACAGGCGTCACCACACACGGATCAGCGTTTGCCCCGGGCCGGCTAGGGCCACCCCAGGCACAGGATGGAGCTCCACCCACCGATCTTGTACTCGCAGGGCCGGAGTCTGGGGTCCTCCAGGATGTTAAGTCTCCGTTTCTTTCTCCAACAGCGCGCGGGGTACGTGTAGATCTGTCCCGGGGCCAGACCTGCAGGTGAGGAGGGCGGTGAGGACCGAGAACGCCGTCGCAAAGCAGCTGCCCCGCCCCGCCCCACCCCGCCCCTGCCCTCCCAGCGGGTACCAGGGCCGCGGTGGGTCTTTTCCATCCAGATGTAGCAGTTGTTCTGGGCCACGCCGGTCTGCGAGTCGAGGAAGGGCAGGCGCAGGCTGCGCTCAGCGCACAGGCGCGCGTTGTAGCTGCGGCAGTGCTCAATGGCCTCGCGGTAGAAGTCCTCGCCTAGGCTGTGAGGGCGAGCGAGCGGGCGAGTGGCTGTCACCAAGGGCAGGAGCGCCGGGTCGTCCAGCACCCCTCCCTCAACGCGCAGCTCGGGAATGGGTGATCCGACTCCTCCAGTCTCTCCCCTCCTGTCGCTCCTGGACTCAGAAGCCCCCAACCTGAGACCCAAGCAGGCCCGGAGCCAACCGGTAGATACACACACATAATGTAGAAACAGACAAAAATACACCAAGACCCATCCACACGTGCACATATCAAAATACACAACACAAACAAATCACACAGGATTGACACACAAAGAGAGACATATCCCAAAACTCACAAAGGAGAAACAGACAAATCTCACATACGTGCACGCACAAATATCTACTGAAAAAAACACAGACATCGCAGATACATAGTGTGGGACAGACACAACACACATATATCCACGCACAAATACACATCACATATCCAAAGACACACAACATAAACAAAGCACCCACACAAAGACACACAACATGCAAACAGATCACAGACACCACACTTCACACACACACTCATGCAACCAAAGACACACACATACACAAATGTTAGAAGAAATGTTAAAACAAACTACCCACATGAGCACCTACACACATATCTAAAGACACAACACAAACAAATCACACACGCGCACACACACAATGTCCAGGCACACTATACAAAGAAATCGCACAGATTCACATAGGACACACACGTACACACAATCATAAAGATACACGATATAGAAACCAACATCTAAAACACCACATATCCAAACACAAAGATATACACATATACAATATAGAAACAGACAAATCCACCCATATTCACACAAAAATGTACACATAAATACACGCACAACTACAAATCCAGACACAGAACACAAATGATGCGGCTTCAAAGGACATGTACACTCAAAGACCCAAATATCCCAAGATACCTGGTAGACTGAAAGATATTAAACACATATCCACACACATATCCAAAAACACACACACAAAAAAAACAAAAAAATAACAGTACAAACAAGTGACACACACTCCACACGCCAAGACAAAGGTAGTATGGGCTTCACTCAAGTTTACCGAGGCTCCCGCACCTCCAGGCCATTTCACTCTCTCCCCAACCCCGGGGGTCGCCGGGCGGGACATGACCCCCTTCCCTGAAAAGGACCCGAAGAGGACTCCGAGCTCCCCACACCCTCCGCTCGTCCAGGAGCAGCGCATCGGACACCGTTCTTGCCAGAGACCCATGATCGCACACATTCGCACCCCCGCGCAGCACGGCCCACGGTGACAGCCCCCCAGACACCCCTTCGGCCCCACCCCCGGCCGCCACACACACACGCCCGCGCAGACCCGCCCGCGCGCCCTCCCCCACCTCCCGCCGGCCCGCAGCACCTCAGGGGGCCGGGGATGACCGTGGCCATCTTGCTCCCCGGGTCCTGCCCCCAGCAGGTCCCCGCCGGGTCGGTCCTCCCAGCGCTCGGGCGGGCGCTGAGGCCGCCCATCCATTCATTCCCGCGGGGCGGGAGCACCGGGACCACAGCCAATCACGACGGCGGGGCGGGCCCGCCCGGGCCATTCTGGGAGTCGTAGTACATTAGAACACAATGATGCGGGCTTCAAAGGACATGTATACACTCAAAGACCAAATATCCTCAAGATACCTAGGTAGACTGAAAAGATATACATAAATGGAGCATATCCACACACATATCTTCAAAAAACACACACACAAAAAAAAAAACACACACAATAAAAAGCAAACAAGACACACTCCACTAATGCCAAGCTAGACAAAGGTAGTATGGGCTTCACTCAAGCTACTTGGAGGCTCCCTGCACCTCCAGGCCATTTCACTCTTCTCCCAACCCTGGGGTCGCCGGGTGACATGACCCCCCTTCCCTGAAAGTGTGCTGACCTGAAGAGGGGACTCCAGCTCTACACCTGCTCGTCCAGGAGCAGTGCATCGGACAATTTTGCCAGAGACCCATGATCGCACGTCGCCTCCGCACTTCATGCGCGCAGCACGGCCCACGGTGATACAGCTTCTCCCCAGACACCCCTTTCGGCCCCACCCCGGCCGCCACATACGATGCTTGAAAAAAGAGACCCGCCTGCGCGTGCTCCTCCCCCACCTCCTGCCGGCCCGCAGCACCTCAGGGGCCGGGATGACTGTGGCCATCTGCTCCCCGGGTCCTGCCCCCAGCAGGTCCCCGCCGGGTCGGTCCTCCCATGCTCGGGCGGGTGCTGAGGCCGCCCATCCATTCATTCGCGGGGCGGAGCACTGACCACAGCCAATCACGATGGCGGGCAGGGCCTGCCCGGGCCATTCTGGGAGTCGTAGTCCTGCCCGACCTGCGGGACTGCGGGGAAGCAGTGCAGGCCTGTGAGCGCGCAGTCATCACACACGTTCGCCCAGACGCACATCTAGTCTCCCCTGCAGGCAGACACTCGCCACATGTACACCTGGATTCCGTCAAAGCACACTCCACATACATACGGTAGCGTTTGTTATTTACATACATATTCACACGTATACTCACAGCCTCCCACGTAGACTCACGCATACTTTGCTAATTTACACACCTTTTACAGACTCACACATTTACACTCACACAACACTTCAATGCCCTGAGACCTAGAGATACCTAAGAGGTGCCCATACAGATGCCCACCGGCTGGGCTTCAGGCTTACCTTCACTGACACTCCTCCCCCCTCCCCGCCTTCTCCCCTCCCCCCTCCCACCCCCAGTCCCTCCCCAGCTCCAGAGAACCCTATCTAGTCCCCTCGTTTTACTCTCACAGTGACCCCTGCCCTGCTCTATCCCTTCCGCGGGCTAGACTCCGCACAGCTACTTGTGCAGAACGGGAGCCACACCCAGAGGTTCAAATCCTGGCTCTGCCATTTGCGGCCAGGCCTCGGGCAATGACTTTAACTTTCGGCCTGTTCTCACGTAAAATGAGATGACACCTCATTGGATTGTCGCAAGGACTAAAATGAGTACATATGTGTAAAAGCGTGTTTTAAAAGGCACCTTGGCAGGTAGTAAGTGTTCATAAAACTTCACCATTCCACAAAGATTGATATTGTTTTAGTTATGCGTAAAATAGCCAACACCCCAGAAAGAATAATACCCTGGGGCGCCTGGTATCAGGCCGATTGGAGCGCCGGGACTGCTGCTGGGGTCAAGAGATCTCACAGTCTGTGGTTGAGCCCCACGTGTTGGGCTTTATGATAGCACCAGAGCCCTTGCCTCCACGCTGCTCCTCTCCTCTGCCCCTTCCCCTGCTCACGCGGCACGCATGCACGCTCTCACAAAAAATAAATAAGCTTTAAAAAGAAGAAGATGGAGGAGGGGGAGAAGGAGGAGGAGGAAGAGAAGAAGAGGAATGCCTGGTACATAAAAGATGCTCAGTATTTGTTGAAGGAGTAAATATACTGAGTACCCATGATGTGTCAGACACAGTTCTAAGTACTTGATTCAATGGTGCAATTTCTCATACGACCCTCTGGGGTGCTGTTATTTTTCACTCTATTTTCCAGATGAGGAATCTGTTCCTGGTGGCTCTTTGAAGGTGGGATCAAGGGGGGACTCACTGCCTCAGATATCTGTACCCAAGTCAGTTTTTACTTCCTTCTTTTTCCCCACTCACTTCCTTTACAGATCGTACCCTAAAAGGACCCTGAGATACACTCCACCAAGTTGCACCAGCACTCACCTGGAACCCCCCTGTCCAAAGTTTGTGTTCAAGTTTGAGCCCCTGCGTGGATATCATCAAAATGCCTCCAAATGTCTCATGTCCACCAGGGGCCTCCAGCAGACAGACTGCATAGCAGCCTTCACCTCCTCTTTTGTCACTTGATGCCTTGCCTACCCTCTGGTGAGAGACACCTCCAAGGTTCTTTCTTCATACTTTATTACTTTCTAAACACACATACACACACACACACACACACACACCTCTAGTGTCTCTAGACTCCCTTCCACAAACCACAATAAATCCTCCTCTATTTCCCATAAAGGCCTTTGACCTTTTCCTCCCCTCTCAAGAACAGGACAGAGTAGGTCTCTGTTTCATATCTGTTTCTGAGCAGGTGGCAAGTAAGTCGGGGATGCCACCTGAAATGGTGTTCAAACCATTCTCACTCTGGCTTTCAGCCCCTGGTTACCACCTCCCCTGTCGCAGATCCAGATTCAAGCCCTCCCCCTCTGTCCAGCAGCCTCAGCTCAGAGAATGCCCTTGCCACCTCCTTCTCTCACCTCCCACCACCCACACATGCTTACACTTGCTCCCCACCTCCAGCTCAGGATAATTCTGCCTTCACTCCTGCCCCACCCCAGAACCTGTATCTATTTGGACGGTTTGAGGCTGAAGGAAAACTCCATCACTCTCCCTGGAGGCCTTTTGTCCACCAGCACGATTGAACCCCCCCCCCACTGGTATCTTAGGTTGAAACTTGCCTCCCTTTCCCTACCGCCTGCACCCTCACAGAGATTCTCCCACACTTGGAACCTCCCCCAAGCAGTGGGGAGTTCCACCCCAGCCCCCACCCCTGCAGACTTCAGAAGATGAGAGAGCAAAGAAGGGCACAGCACCAAGCATCCCCAATTTTGCCCAGGCCCCCGCGAATACCCTATGTAAACTGACCAAGAAGAGAAATCAGTCATTGATGCTAATGCATCACAATCAGCCAGCATTCAGGCAGGGTCAGGCTCTGTACTCAAGTGCTTCCAAAGGTCACAAGCATGGATAATAGGCTCTGTTAGGAGTCCCCCACAGATGGTAACACTGTGGAGGCTCCCTGGAGGAGTGGGGAGAAGGAGGGAGACTAAGGGCTCAAGATGAGGTTTGAAACCAGGTAGTCATAATACACAGCCCAGCCTCGCACTCCGCCCAGCCTCCCACTCCCAGGATTTGGCTCCACCCTTTAGAGCCGGCCCCTGCCCCTCAATCTCCCAGGACCTGCCAAAAGAGAGAGCAAAGAAGGGCAAAGCAGGGCGCTGGCACCCCCAACGCCTTCCTCTGACCTCCTCCAAGAGGTCCCGGCCAGGGTCAGAGGGAGGAGGCCAGAATGCCCTTGCAGCCATCCACCAACCTGCACAGGAACCCCTGTCCCAGCCAGCTTTCCGAGGGTGTTCCTCGTGGGGCACACCTCCGCCTGCAGGTGTTAAGACAGAGTGAGGGAAGGGCAGGCCACCGCCTCACACACCTCCTCACACTGCAATGCCCGCACACGCCCTGCAAGCTTCTCCTGCTTCACCGCAGTTAAGCCACACGTAGGCGCCAGTTTATTAACCCCCCGCCCCCCCACTCCTCCTTCTTCTCCTCCCTCCCAACAGCCCCCTGCCAGAAACCAGCCAACTGGGGTCAGGGTCCAGCATCAGGCCCGGCGGTTTGGGGAGGTTGGGGGCGCTCCTGGCTACTCCCTTCCCCCTCCCCACCCCCCCCCAACACGCGCAGCTCAAGGTCATGCAGAGCAGGTTGGGGGAAGGGGGGAGGTCGCTGTCCCTTGTACGGGTGCCGCATGCTGCCTCCGCCTTTCTCCATCTCTTCTGCTCTCCCCCCCCCCGCCCGGGCAGGGGGCGGAGGAGTGCCGCGCCTGCCAGCCGGGGGAGGAGGGAATGGGCCGCGCGCCTGTCACTGAGCCTGCCACCAGGCCGAGGAAAGGGTGGGAGGCTGGGACCTGAGTCCAGGATCCTGAAGAGGGAGCGAAGAGAGAGAGATGGAAAAAGAGAGAAAGAGGTGCTAAGAGAGGAGAGGGATGGGACAGAGCTAGGCTTGAACCCGGGCGTCCAGGTTCCCAGCCACTTGTGAGAAGCTAACGCCGGAGGAGGACGCCGACAGGGAGAAAAAGGGAGGAATCCCCTGAGATTGGAGGGAGTGCTGCCAGCATCCTCCCAGTTGATCTGTCCCAGATGCTCTGGTTAGGATGCGCGCTGGGCGGGGAGAGGGAGAATCCCACGGGTCTAAACTGACCTGCCGTGAGCTTAGGTCCCGGAAGACTCGGGAGGAAAAAGGACAGCAGGTCCGACCGGGAACCCCTGACGTCTCAGTTACCCCAGGCCACGCGCGGCCTAGAGGTCCCTGGGAGAAGGAGAGAGGAAAGGTGCCTGCTGAGGGGAAGGAGGGTGGCAGGAAGACCCGAGGCTGAGGCCTGGACTCTGGGCAAGGCGCCTGCACTCCCAGCCCCTATGCCCCCCCCTGCCCCGGCGCCCCCCGGAGACACGTGGAGGCCGAGAGATGGAGGAGAGGAAGCCTCCTACCCCCACTCTGGGTGGGGAAACGGCCTCCGCCACCCCCCAACTGCCCGGGCCAGCCCCACATTCCTTCACTGACAGCGACAAAGAAGAGACGCCCCCGCGCTGGTCCCTAGTGCTCCTGCCCCCAACCCCAGGGGGCAAGCCATAAGGGCAGGTCCCCCTGAAGTGGTGGGGGGACGAGCTGAGGCCCCCATTAACTGCTCCTTCCGCAGTGTTGCGTCCCTCCCCAAGAGGCGGGGGCT